TAGTCGTGCGGCTTCTCCCCCTTGCCCTCTCCTCTCGTTCCTGTTCGCCCCACGTTCGTTGTTCTGATCAACTGACCATCCCTGTTTTTTTTCTACTTGGCGTCTACAGTTTGACGGTAGGAAACTTTTCTCTTGTTACTGCAATGCCCGTTTGTTCCTCGAACGTCATCATGCTGTTGTACATAGCTACTGGCACTAACCATACGAATATACACATTCACTTCAGTTTACTTATCAATAAACACACACATACACGCGCGTTTTCGAGGATTACCACAACAGAATAAGCATCGCTCCTCCACTCATGATCCATTTTCTTTACCCCCCGTCTCCAATCTGAAACAGGGGCATCTGCTTCTCTCCGACATCACCACCACCATTTCTAAACGAAATTATTCGCTCATCACTCACACATCCACCCACGTCGTATAATTCATTCGTGTTGAAATCTCCTCACGAAACGATAGTTTTCACTCGTTCATGGTCAGTTTCTCGACCCCCCCCCCCGCAGTTGTCCGACCATGGTCAAACGAATCAAGGGAGTCTCTATATTCATTTGATTGGTGACCGTGGTCGCCTCTTTTGTTCGATCTCAAAATGCAGTGTTCTGCCGCCTGTCACTCAGTGTGTGTATGTGTTTGCGTACGTGCGCGTGTGCCGTTACGTGTGTTTGTGTTTCTTAGTGCCCAATCACATTTCTGCTTTTCATATATACATTCATCTATTTCCATTTTTTCTTGGGTTTGAATAAAATATCTCGGTCATGGCACAGACAAATCTCAAAGGCTACGCACTAACAGTTTGAACCACTCTACCCAAGAAATTGCAACTTGGCCTCCAAGTTAATGTTTTGTTTTCTACTTTACGATGGAGAATAGGTAAGACAAAGGAATGACATAGAAGATCCGCATGGTACCTTTGACCGCTCTCTTTCCTCCGCTCCTTTTCTGCACGCTACGGTACAATCGAATAGATAGAGTTTTATAAACCGGAATGGTACGCACTTGGTATCTCCTCGATGCATGCGCACGTGCGCGTGTTCAAACTGATTCGGACCGTGATAACCCACCGTTTCGAACTTAGTATAACTGTTATTACTGTAATACAGCTCTATTCTTGAGTTTTAGTCAGTTCGCGGCGGTCTAATTACTGTAGCGTTTTTCACAGAATCAGCTGTTGGCCCACTCGCCTCAGTTGAACATAGTTGTCTTCTAAAATTACAGAATGCTAGTCAAACGGCACTGGCACCGATTGTTCCCATCGTCGCCATACTAGCTCCATCATTTGATTCCGTGATATTTGTTGCTTCTCCAAGTTGAACGTTATACAATCTTATCAGGGTTCCTCGTGATGGTCAGTCAGTTCATTTGGGTTCTCTAGGACTTGTGTCTACGTGTCTTATGAGCTTATAGGTGGTGTTGCACTGCCCTTGGTGATTCGATTTCTATCATCACCATTTTGACCATCATTCTCTGTTGCCTCCGAAGTACCAATGAAGACGGTGATTCTGTCCCTGCGAAAACTAACACTTGACGGAGGTACTGCCCGGCTAATAGTTATGTTTTGCTCAGGGACGATTTATTCGATCGATTTTCTGACTACCGTTCGTTTAGGGCATGCAATTTTGTGCATGAATAACATTATGCATCTGATATGCTGGACTGTTAAATTAACTTGGGAATGGGAAAATAAATAGGTGCTCATCGGAGGATTCATTCATTGATGACAAATGAATTTTTCCAATCTTCCTGTTCGATCAGTAATTTTTTGACTTCTTTTCATCGTACCCGTACTTTTAATTCCCCAATGAGTCGATTGAAATGAACGAGATTTGTTGGGCAGAAAACTTTATTTGCCGAGGTCACTTTGTTTTTCGCATGCCGTTCGGTGGCCCGTTACCGGTTTCCAGACTGGCGTATGTGCATGCGTTTTTCCATTCACCTAACACATTATTATGTTCATTTTGATCGCAAGTCTCTCAGCCAATATGCTTGGCTATCTTTGTAAAAACGGAACAGATGCAATAGAAGCTGTCACTCTCTTCTTTCGGAGATCGTCACTGCCTATTCTTGCGGGACGGCGTATAAATGCTGCACAGTCAGACGCTTGTCAGAACGAACCAGTGAGCACCAGTCTGCATGGCTAACTGCACGAACGATAAGGTTACTCGCTAGTGTGGTTATTTCACACCTAGCTGAAACAAGTCACATTGGATGTGACCGAGATATTCCGCCCATTTTACGGGGTTTACGATCGACTATCAAGGCAGGTTCACTGTCGTGTGCTTACCACAGCGGGAGCGGTAAGAATTCATCTGCACAGCATCCTGCTGTATACTCCGAAATAATGAGTACAGGCGCCCAAGCCATCCTGGAT